AAATATAGCAACAGAAGAATGATGACCTGGTACGTCCAGTTGTAGTCATATGACACTCGCTCCATTAGATCATATTCAGCTCCTGGAACACTGCAGACAGGTCGGTGAAAGGCATCCCGAAGTCGTCTGTAAATATTTCTTATGTAAAAATTTTCAAAATCTTGGTAGAGAGGCACAAAAATCCTTTATTATGAGAGAATAATGGATTACTGTTTTACATATTATTTTACAGCTTTTTTTGCACAAATTAGTAGAGAGACACTAGCCGACCATGTATAAATTCCTTTTGTCTTAAAGTCATGACTTTGCCTTATAGGAAGAAGTTTGCCACATGTAACAGGATTTTTAGTGGTTGATGGGTGCTTACAAATAGACATGAATTTTCTCTGCTGATTTTCCATCCAGCAGATATACTGTATGCACAGAAACTACATTTTTTTTGCAAACCAGAAAAACTATTTTCTCTGTGCCACTTAATATGCAAAAATGTGATACAAGAGAGAAATGCAAGGATGCAGAATGCCCAAAAGGTAAATCTAAAAGGCATTAAAAATCTCTGTAGTGGTGGACACACAGATGACAATAAAGACCTGGCCAATCTGTCCAAAACTAAAATAACAAATGTTGGCATTAGATTGATTTTAATTAAGAGGTAACTGTTTTATGTAAAAATTATATTTCAGTTCTTTGTAGATGTTGCAGGGTTAAACTACCTGACATGTACCTTTTATCTCTTGGGGACATCGTAGTAAGATATCTGTTTTGAAATCCCTTGGTTTACACATCTGTGGCCAGTATGTGGGGTTACATTTTCCATGTTGGATTTTTTATTTATTTGTATTACAAAATATAACAAGAGGATCTGGAATATGTGTGTGGGCATTAAAACCTAAAAGCCCTATGTTGGTAGGATTTGCAGTTGAGAATTGTGGCAGGGGGGCATCACTGTTGGAGCATCCATACATTATAAAGAGGAGTAGAGATGAGCGAAGTATTCAAAAATTCGATTCGACTGATTCGGCGAATTCGTGGACAATATTCGATTCGAGTCGAATATATTCGCTGTGAATTTAACTTAAAAAAGGGTGTTTCTAGGCTTCAGAGAGACTTAGTATTAGTGCAGAACACTGTACCTTTAATTTAAATGCCCTTGGAGTCTGCTGGGGAAGAGAAATAATACTGTCAGTCAGTATGACATGCAGATGAGTGCCGTCGATCTTAGAATCACCGCACACTTCACTCATTTGGCCAGTCACGGGGCCAAAACCAGTGTTTGGAGCCACAGTGTGGCGGTGGAGGCAGCAGCAATGGGAGGCCATACAGCACCCTATGAACAAAATGGAAACCAGCAGGAGTGTGAGGACACCTCAAAGTGGCACATGGCAGAGTGGGAGCAATGGGAGGCGGTACAGGGACCCATGTCACACTGTGGACCCAGCAGCAGCGTGACGAGGCGGTACGGGGGGCCCCATGGCAGATTTGGGGCCTGGCAGCACCTATGGGAGGCCTGTAATCTGCCAGCAACCTATGACAAAATGGAAAACAGCAGGAGTGTGAGGAGACCTCAAAGTGGCACATGGCAGAGTGGGGAGCAATGGGAGGCGGTACAGGGACCCATGTCACATGTGGACCCAGCAGCAGCGTGACCAGGCGGTACGGGGGCCCATGGCAGATTACAGGCCTGGCAGCAGCAATGGGAGGCCCGTAATCTGTCCAGCACCCTATGACAAAAAATGGAACACACCAGCAGTGTGTGAGGAGACCTGAAAGTGGCACATGGCAGAGTGTGGCGATGGAGACAGCAGCAATGGGAGGCCGTACAGGGACCCATGAGAGACTCTGGACCTGGCAGCAGCAGCATGAGGAGGCGGTATAGGGGCCCACCCTTGGCAGATTAGGGGCCTGGCAGCAGCTATAGGAGGCCCGTAATCTGCCAGCACCCTATGACAAATCGAAAAAATTCAACACACCAGCAGTGTGAGGAGACCTGAAAGTGGCACATGGCAGAGTGTGGCGATGGAGACAGCAGCAATGGGAGGCCGTACAGGGACCATGAGAGACTCTGAACCTGGCAGCAGCATGAGGAGGCGGTATAGGGGCCCATGGCAGATTAGGGGCCTGGCAGCAGCTATGGGAGGCCCCGTAAATCTGCCAGCACCCTATGACAAAAAATGGAACACACCAGCAGTGTGAGGAGACCTGAAAGTGGCACATGTTTGGGGCATGATTCATGGCGGATTTAGTCAGTTGTGTCAGAAACTGGTGGTTTGAAATCCAGACTAATCCACGCCTGATTTCATTTTCACAAACGTGAGTCTCTCCACACTTTGGGTGGACAGTCGTGTCCTCCGCGGAGTTGCAATACCTCCTGCCGCACTAAACACACGCGCTCCGATGCCACGCTACTGGCCGGGGCATGACAGCCTTTCAAGGGCAAATTCAGCTAGTTGGGGCCAAAGGTCAAGTTTCGTTGCCCAGTAGTCAAGGGGATTGTCTACCTCGGTTGGCAGGGTGCTGTCCAAGTAGGCCTAAGCCTGTTGTTTGAGGTCCTGCTCCAGGTCCACCTGATGCTGCTGCTGCTGATGCTGGGCCTGGTTAGTAGTTTCCTCACTGCGCTGGTGAAAGAAAGCTACTCATCATCGACTGCAGACTGAGGCAGCTGCTGCTGGTGGAGCTGCCACTGCTCCTACCACCCCACCCCTCCCTGCTGCCATGGCAGCGTAACGCGAGCGCACAGGGCCCACAGTGTCTGAGGATGGACGTTGGCGCAGACAGGCAGAGACCAGCTGACTACATAGGTGGTTTTTATTAGTACGTTACTTTTTGGCCTCCCTCTCAGCAGGTGTGAAAAAGGCCACCATTTTGGAACGGGTAGCGAGGGTCCAAACAAGGTGGACAGCCAAAAGTCATCCCTCTGTCTGATGGTTATTATTCGGCTGTCGGTACGCAAGCAAGCGAGCATTGCTATGGGCCATTTGTGCCAAGGAATGCAAGGGACTCCCTGCCTCCATCTCCACAGCATACTGCCACGGTGCGTCTGTCTGGGTCCTCTGTCTCCTCTTCCTCCTCCTCTACCAGATGCTCCTGCTCCTCCACTCCTGTCCGCTGAGTGGAAAAACCACCCATTTCACTCAATAATTCCTGAGCACCAATGTCCTCCTCTACCTCCTCCTCTTCTTCCTGTCCTGCCCCCACAGGGGTCATGTGGCGTTGAGATCTGTGCGCCACGTCTACCGCACCCTGACAGCCATTATTAACAGCATTTGTTCCAGGACGTGCAACAGAGGAATGACGTCGTTCATCCCATAGTCCTGCCGACTCACGAATAGCGTGGCCTCCTCAAAGGGCCTGAGCAAGCGCAGGTGTCACGCATGAGCTGCCAATGGCTGACATCGAAGTTACACAGGGGAGTACCTTTATCCGCTTTTAACATCAGGAAATCTGTGATGGCCTTTTGCTGTTCGTAAAGGCGGTCTAACATATGTAGGGTTGAATTCCACCTTGTTGCAACGTCACAGCATGAGGAGTCGGTACGGGGGCCCATGGCAGATTACGGGCCTGGCAGCAGCAATGGGAGGCCCGTAATCTGCCAGCACCCTATGTCAAAAAATTCAACACACCAGCAGTGTGTGAGGAGACCTGAAAGTGGCACATGGCATGAGAGACTGTGGACCTGGCAGCAGCATGAGGAGGCGGGTATAGGGGCCCATGGCAGATTAGGGGCCTGGCAGCAGCTATGGAGGGCCCGTAATCTGCCAGCACCCTATGTCAAAAAATTCAACACCAGCAGTGTGTGAGGAGACCTGAAAGTGGCACATGGCAGAGTGTGGCGATGGAGACAACCCACCGACTGTTTTGCTCGCTGCCAAGCTGCCACCCTCTTCTCCTGATGATGCGGAAGCAATAGCCTGATGACGACGAGGCTGCCAAGTGCGATCAGCCTCATCATCATCAATTAGGGTCTCCGCCTCACTACTAGCCCCCTCGGCTGCGTGTGGGTCAGGAGACAGACCTGTCTCTACACCGGCTACCGAGCCACTCTCCTCGCCACTACTTCTTTGCCTGGCTGCTGAAAAGGCGGATGTCTCCCCCCGTTCCTGACCGCCCCCTCTGTTAGCTCTTCCTCACTGTACTGGATGACACCGGGAGCACTAGCCTCTGGCTGCGAATAGTGCTGCCTCGACCCCTTCCTCTGCTGCCACGTCTGCTCGCTCCTAAAACATTGCCTCCTCTGCCACTCCTCTGCATGTTGTCTGACATACTCTTTAATTAAACGATTCTGTGTCCCTGAGTAACAATTCTGTGTCCCTGAGTAACGTTTCTGTGGCCCTAAGTAACAGTTCTGTGGCCCTAAGTAACAGTTCTGTGGCCCTCAGTAACAATTCTGTGTCTGTCCCTGAGTAACAATTCTGTGTCCCTCAGTAACAATTCTGTGTCCTGAGTAACAATTCTGTGTCCCTGAGTAACGTTTCTGTGGCCCTAAGTAACAGTTCTGTGGCCCTCAGTAACAATTCTGTGTCCTGTCCCTGAGTAATAACAATTCTGTGTCCCTCAGTAACAATTCTGTGTCCCTGAGTAACAATTCTGTGTCTGTCCCTGAGTAAGAATTCTGTGTCTGTCCCTGAGTAACGTTTCTGTGGCCCTAAGTAACGGTTCTGTGTCCTCAGTAACAATTCTGTGTCCCTGAGTAACAATTCTGTGTCTGTTCCCTGAGTAACAATTCTGTGGCCCTAAGTAACGGTTTCTGTGGCCCTCAGTAGCAATTCTGTGTCCCTGAGTAACAATTCTGTGTCCCTCAGTAACAATTCTGTGTCCCTCATTAACAATTCTGTGTCCCTCAGTAACAATTCTGTGTCTGTCCCTGAGTAACAATTCTGTGTCTGTACCCTGAAGTAACGTTTCTGTGGCCCTAAGTAACGGTTCTGTGGCCCCTCAGTAACAATTCTGTGTCCCTCAGTAACAATTCTGTGTCTGTCCCTGAGTAACAATTCTGTGTCTGTCCCTGAGTAACAATTCTGTGTCCCTGAGTAACGTTTCTGTGGCCCTAAGTAACATTTCTGTGGCCCTCAGTAACAATTTCTGTCTGTCCCTGAGTAACAATTCTGTGTCTGTCCCTGAGTAACAATTCTGTGTCCCTCAGTAACAATTCTGTGTCCCTGAGTAACAATTCTGTGTCCCTCAGTAACAATTCTGTGTCCCTCAGTAACAATTCTGTGTCCCTGAGTAACAATTCTGTGGTCTGTCCCTGAGTAAGGAATTCTGTGTCTGTCCCTGAGTAACGTTTCTGTGGCCCCTCAGTAACAATTCTGTGTCCCTGAGTAACAATTCTGTGTCTGTCCCTGAGTACAATTCTGTGGCCCTAAGTAACGGTTCTGCGGCCCTCAGTAACAATTCTGTGTCCCTGAGTAACAATTCTGTGGCCCTAAGTAACGGTTCTGTGGCCCTCAGTAACAATTCTGTGTCCTGAGTAACAATTCTGTGTCTGTCCCTGAGTAACAATTCTGTGGCCCTAAGTAACGGTTCTGTGGCCCTCAGTAACAATTCTGTGTCCCTGAGTAACGTTTCTGTGGCCCTAAGTAACATTTCTGTGGCCCTCAGTAACAATTCTGTCTGTCCCTGAGTAACAATTCTGTGTCTGTCCCTGAGTAACAATTCTGTGTCCCTCAGTAACAATTCTGTGTCCCTCAGTAACAATTCTGTGTCCCTGAGTAAACAATTCTGTGTCCCTCAGTAAAACCAATTCTGTGTCCCTCAGTAACAAATTCTGTGTCTGTCCCTGAGTAAGAATTCTGTGGCCCTAAGTAACGGTTCTGTGGCCCTCAGTAACAATTCTGTGTCCCTGAGTAACAATTCTGTGGCCCTAAGTAACGGTTCTGTGGCCCTCAGTAACAATTCTGTCCTGAGTAACAATTCTGTGTCTGTCCCTGAGTAACAATTCTGTGGCCCTAAGTAACGGTTCTGTGTGGCCTCAGTAACAATTCTGTGTCCCTGAGTAACGTTTCTGTGGCCCTAAGTAACGGTCCTGTGGCCCTCAGTAACAATTCTGTGTCCCTCAGTAACAATTCTGTGTCTGTCCCTGAGTAACAATTCTGTGGCCCTAAGTAACGGTTCTGTGGCCCTCAGTAACAATTCTGTGTCCCTGAGTAACGTTTCTGTGGCCCTAAGTAACGGTTTCTGTGGCCCTCAGTAACAATTCTGTGTCCCTGAGTAACGTTTCTGCTGTGGCCCTAAGTAACGGTTCTGTGGCCCTCAGTAACACAATTCTGTGTCCCTGAGTAACAATTCTGTGTCTGTCCCTGAGTAACAATTCTGTGGCCCTAAGTAATGGTTCTGTGGCCCTCACTAACAATTCTGATTGTCCCTGAGTAACAATTCTGTGTCTGTCCCTGAGTAACAATTCTGTGGCCCTATAACTAACGTTCTGTGGCCCTAAGTAACAGTTCTGTGGCCCTCAGTAACAATTTCTGTGTCCCTGAGTAACGTTTCTGTGGCCCTAAGTAACAATTCTGTGGCCCTCAGTAACAATTCTGTGTCTGTCCCTGAGTAACAATTCTGTGTCCCTAACTAACGTTTCTGTGGCCCTAAGTAACAGTTCTGTGGCCCTCAGTAACAATTCTGTGTCCCTGAGTAACGTTTCTGTGGCCCTTAGTAACAATTCTGTGTCCCTGAGTAACAATTCTGTGGCCCTAAGTAACGGTTCTGTGGCCCTCAGTAAACAATTCTGTGTCCCTGAGTAACAATTCTGTGGCCCTAAGTAACGGTTCTGTGGCCCTCAGTAACAATTCTGTGTCCCTGGAGTAACAATTCTGTGTCTGTCCCTGAGTAACAATTCTGTGGCCCTAAGTAAAGGTTCTGTG